TGTCATTTTTGTAATTAAGCTAAATTTAAACAATGTTTGTCAACTTTTTTGAGAGATTTTGGAAACACTGGTTACCAACCATAACATAATAAATCCACCAGATTAACCTAAAGTTCCTAGTCGATCAGTGGCGTACTTTTTGGTAGGATAAAGGTTATTATAAATTATTTTTAGACTTTGGAATTTAGAAAAAAAAAGTTTCAGGTGCTTCTTTATGGACCCTAAGGAACAACCCATTTTAATATATAACATTAATTACATAACACCCTGTATATGTATATATACAGTTATAAAAGAGCACTTTATAACTTTATAACTTTATTATATATATTTATATATATATTTATATATATATTTATATTTATATATTTTAGTATAGTAAATTAAAATTAAAACTTTATAAATATTTTCACGCGCATTACATCATTGTATACTGCATTCCATTTAAAGGTTATAAAGAATCAATACAGTTAACCGTTCAATATTTTTTTATAAAAGCTTATGAATAATAATATTTTGCTTACCTCAATAAATAAATTTATGCAAAAGTAGTTTATTTGGGATGCATTCCATTTCAATGTGAAGTCAAAATGGAAATAAACGTTAAAATTATTAAACTTTGATTAAAAAAAATATATTGTATTTAGAAAAAAATAATTAACATGGTTAAAGGTTGCTAGTTCGCCCTGATTGTATAATATTATTTCCCTGTGTGAAATAAAATAAGTAAACACAAGGTTCGGCTTAGTCGCAATGATATGATTTAGCAATCTGGAGGTGTGCCCAGGCGTTACAATTTATCTGCTCATGGGCCATTTTTTTCTTATTTCCTGCTTTAAAAGGAAAAAAATCTGGTTATACAAATAAAAGGTTATATCTTGATAAAGTTTTACAATTAAAATAATATATTAGATACTAATGTTTTCTTGTAAACAACGTCTTTTAGCAATATATATTATGGAAGTCATGTTCTTCCTCATTGAGGTTTTAACAATAATTATTATGATTATGATTTAAAAAAAGTAACAAAATTATACATTTATATATTATAATTATTTTGGGTCTTGTTTTAACTTCGTAAAACTTTTTAAATCATACTTTGATAACCAATGGTAAGGTATTGTGTTGGCCCGACTTTTGATACTCGTAAGGAAAAAAGTGACAACCAACTACACGCACTTAGTTTAAGTCATATTGACAGAATGAGATGACATTGACATATTAATTTCAATCAGCTGTGTTAAAAAAAAACGTTTAAAAGTTAAATTTTAAATTATATCGAGTCTTAGCGTGAAAGATTGTTAGTTTGAGTACAGCAAGTTTGGGATATTACCAAACCAGTATTAAAAAGTAAAGTTGGTAATAAAAAATGGTCTCCTAGAGTAACAAGGTTGTTGATGGTAGTAGGCGAATGAATTTGAAAAAAATATAGAGATTGATGATTTTTTTAAACAAGAAATTGTAGGTATTTTTGAGTATAAACATACAAGGTATGATATAAATATTATATTAATCAATTTAATTAATTATTTAAAATGGTTGTAAAGCTTTGACCAAGTTTATTATTTTAATGTGGATTCCTAAGGTTTTAACTCTCATATTTATTTATCTAGTTCAGGAGACGTTATAATTCATCTATTTTGTATCATAAGTCGATATCATTATATTAAATAAATTAAACCTTAATATTCCTTATTTTTAATATTACATACATATTATTATTACTATATGCCTTATTTTGATTATTACGTTGACATTATTATCTGCTTTCTTATTATTATTATTATTATTATTATTATTATTACTATATTTTCTATGATTACTATATTGTATATTATTACTGTTTCTTTATTTATTGCGCTATGTAATGGGATTAATAAGAATGAAGGTTTTGCTGTATAAAATTAAATTGTATCTCTGTTTCGACTGTTTATACAAAATGAGCTGATATATTGTTACTGATGATCATTATTATAAATTTAGTTGATATTACATTTGGCTTGGTAATACTTAAGAATCTGCATTTATTAAACCTTGGAAATAAAACCCTTTAACCTATAAACTTGGAAATATATATATATTTCTATAAATCTACCGTATTAAACTAGTAAATCTAAATCCCCTAAAGTGACAAAAAGCTAACTGAAACTAATAATCTCAAAACGTTTGATAAAACCTATTGTTATAACTAATATTCAAATACAATGAATATAAAGCTGACAACCATTATTTGTGTGTTTTTATTACTTAATCTAATTTCCTCTCTCTGGCATCCTTCCTATCTAGAAGCGAATTCAAATAACACAACGTAGGTACCTTTTCGACTAGACTAGATGATCACACCGTTTTTGGCCACACTTGACAACATTGGGAAGTTGTTGAGGTTATGTTTGAATTCGCGAGATTCTTAAAATCTCCTTGGGTTACTGCCGTTTTCATGAGTATGGGGTACCCCAGGCCGTGACCATCACAGTATTTAATAAATTTTCTTTATGCTGTTTTACTGCCACCTCTGAAGTACCCTAGGACTTCAATCTAGGCCCACTTTTATTTAATTTGCACATTATTGACTTGCCATCATCACATAGATTTACTTAATCAGATTTGTAATAAAATCTATAAAAAAGTTTCATTACCCATGTTAAAAGTTATAAATTAACAGTGTAGCTTTATGTATATATTTCTTTTATTTGTGTGCAATGCACACTGTTCACGTAACTGAACTCCTTCTAAACGGCTGGACCGATTTTGATGATATTTTTTTTTTTGGTTAAGGGGTGCTGCAATAGGGTTCTAGCCAACGTTCAGACAGGACAACGTCTGTCGGGTCCTCTAGTTTTAGTATAGTTCATAAAATTACTTTTAAAATTTAAAATTGGCACCTCTATTATGTTCTTTACCTTGATTATAATAATTATTAAACGATTTAAATACTTTGAAGAATATTAAACATAACATAGAAACAGATGTTGGAATTATTCTTAATTTTGATACCTATGTACATATGTTATAAAATTGTAACGTCACGACAAGGTCATCGAAGAGTTTTGAATCTTGTTTTCTCAAAAAATGTTTGAGAAACGTAGGAAAAATATTTTAATTTAAATATCCAATAAAAAAATGTGTCCCAACCTCTGCAATCTCCGCTCGTGCATAATTTAAATTGTGTATTAATAGTATATTATGATAAAAGATTCAATGGGCATTATCTCGAATTAAATAATACCTATGCTGTTTCTACTCCAATTAAGTAATTTGCATTAGTAACAAAATTTATTATAACCTCACTTTTTTCGATTTGAAAGATGATTATAGTCGCCCTTCGTATTTATCAAAAAATCTAATATCTGTTTGACAGTTTTAAACTTACTTTTTCGGTCAATTATTGATGCCTAAAAACGTGACTAATAAGCATTATTAATAATATGCGATAGGAGTAAAAAAAATTCGATTATAAAACTAGTTATATAATAATTTATAGGTATTATCTACTTCTAAAGTAATTATACTAGTGAATTAAGTTACGTAATGCACTATAGTAAATTTAATTGGAACAAAGTAAGATTAAATCCGCTTGACAGTTACCTGAAAATTGACAAATGTCAGAGAAAATGTCAAATAAAATTAAAAAAAATATTACTTGGCGCTCGTCGTAGTAGTATTGTATTTGTATGCAATTCGTTTAATAAACTTCTTAAAATAATTCATTGATTCAACTCATGTATTAAATAAGGTTTGTACAACTAGTGAAAAATTCATAAATATAGTATATTATCATCCGAGTGAATAATACGAATACGAATCAAGGACCAATTCTTACGATTTTTGCCATTTAAGTAAATTTATTTAAATTAAATCACTATATCAAGTCCGCCCCTACTCCTGTTTATAAAAATATTTCGGTTATGAGGAAATTTCACGCAATTAAATTTCCGACACTGACAATTTATCCCGTGGAACCTATTTAAACTAGTGCATATTGGGTATCACAGACAAACTGTATGAAGCACTGACAATGTTATTTTGTCGTAAATAAAATGTCTAATACTTCTAATAGTGATAGTGATGTACTAGAAACGGAAGACGTCTATTCCACGACTCCAAAAAGAATTAAAGTGCTGACTACAAACAGAAATACAAAAAAAATTGGAGAAAGGGTGGAAGTGGGTCCAGTCAAGTAAGAAAGGCCCAGTTTTTGCATGGTGTAGTAGTTTTATAACTGATTTTTGTGTGATTAGTAATAGCGTTTTTTTCTAAAATAACGTTTAATACGACTTTACACGATTTTCGGTAGCTGAATAACACGATTCTATCTGCCCTTCATCTGGCAACACTGGCTATGACTTTAAATTATTTCACACGGACTAAAAGCGCTATGTATCGTTAGAAGCGCGGTAAACCCGATGATTTTTTCTTATCCAAAAGAGTTCACTCGATTTCATCGTGTTTCAAATACTATTTCGAATTCATGCATAAGCTGGCGATTACATACTTTAGTATTTACTAGTTCATACTATGACCCGGGGACCCGGACCGAAATGAAATATCGGTTCCGGTACGGTTTTGGTTCATCCTATTTTCGTTTTAATGGTTCCGATTCCGGTTTCGGTTTTGTGGAGTTATAACGGTTCGGTTCTTTTCGGTTTTAAGCGGTTCCAGTGAGGTTATTTGTTTTACGTAATTTTAATCTATAACCTCACATATATATATATATATATGTTATATAATGTTATTAGAATGAAAGCAAATAAAGGTTTCGGTTCCGGTCCAACAGATTTTATCAAAAGCGAAAACGGTTCCGGTTCGGGTTTCGGTTCGGAAAAAAAAAAACCGGTTCCGTTCCGGTTTTCGGTTTTTTTCGGTTTCGGTCCGGGTCCCTGGTTCATAGTATGATTTAAGTCAGAATACATTCTGACTTTTAACCTTATCGAACGTATGACTACAAATTAAGATGCATGTCGCATTTACGTTATCTTATTATTAGTATAAAAATAACTTACCCATTTGGAGTGGTGTTGGTCAAAAATGATTTGGGCAATGAGAGTGATCTTTGCTGCTGATCCATACTGGGTGCGCGTTGTTCGGTAGGGGCACTACCCGGTCGCGATTGTATCGTATTGCATGCATCCTCCCTGGGCGAGACGTTTCTTGAAGGACCACGAGTCGGCACTGGCGGTCGCCTCTCCTCCGACGGCGCCCTATTTGGACTCACACGGCGCTGCGCGGGTTCTCTTCGACACAAGTCGGGTAAAATTCGAGACCCGCGAAAATTGTCGGTGACCGAATCCAGTGAGCGCTGATGGGTCGGATAGCTCTGAGATTGGCGCATCATGTAGTGCGCGTCGCGGTTTGCGCAGTGCGGCCAAAAATCGTAGGGTGTGTTACTCCGAGGGTTTGGAATGTTGGGTGTGGTAGACCCCCGGACAAGCAACTTTTGACTACCGTTAGTTCTAGGTTTGCCCACGTAGTAAACTGTTAAACCATCTTTACGAGGTTTCCACACATCATCGTTAACTTCTTCTTTTGAGGTAATATTGTTATTATTGTTAAATCTGTGCGTTAACAATGCTTGAGCTGCCGCTCTAGATCTATTACCATATAGATATTCCGTTACCACTTCGGCTTCCCTCAATAAATCCACATTTATAACTTCCTCATCCATTGAACGTATTTGTTGATTGCTAGATCTTGATGGTCTCTCCTGTAAACTGCCAGTCTTAGGCAAACCCCTTTGTATATTGGTATGTTGCGGTGATATACGACTAGATGACATATTTGATGCGTTCTTTTCTGGTAACTGTAAACTTCTTGATCGCCGAACGCGTATGCTTTCTTCTAATTGTTGTTGCTTCTGATTACCTCTTACCGGCGCACTTCTACGTAATTGCTGTGGAGCCACAAACTCAAAGCTTTCCGTAGACGATGAACTAGAAGAATTGCAGCTTGGTTGTAAGGTATCTGAACTCCCCGGAGATTTCCTTAAGGGTTGTCGAAAATATTGTCTAGGTGATACTACACGATTTAAAACCGCATTAGGCACTGGGTTCATGCTGATGTTAAGTGAAGAACTGTTATCTTCATCGTCGGCATCTTCGTACGTGTCAATTGAAGAGTCTGTATTTTCTGATAATCTAGGTAGTATGTTTCGGTTTACAGTGCTGTCCAAGCTCTTAAAGCCCATAGAAGATGACGATGATGATGGTGATTCCCTAAAACGCTCGCCAAATGTAGTTCTTCTTATAGCACTGGTATCTTCCAAAGACTTTGTCTGTGGAATTCCACCCGTTTGTCTTTTAGAAGGTTTGTCGTTTGAAGGGGATGTTTTTTTATGAACCAAAGGTGCAGGTAAATTTGGCGCAAAAGATTTCCACGGTTTATTAGGAGGAGAACTGGGTGGACTGACGTCACTGTCTTCAATCGCATCATATCTAGGTAAAAATGGTGTTTTGCCAAAGAAAGATCTGGAGTTCTGATGAGCTTTATTTTTATCCTGAAAAGCAGGTGGGGGTGAAATTATAGGAGTAAGAGAAGGTGGTGAATAGGAAGCCAATGGTATAACTGGCGATGGGGTCCTACTTGATCTGTAATCATAACTTTGAGTATTTAATAAGAGATGTTGTGGTCTTTGAACTTCTTTAGTTCTAGGTTTATCATAGTGGTTTCCAGGTTCGCTATTGTAGTGAAATGCACTAAGATTCTTCTTTGTTGGTTGTTTTTGGAGCCTTTTCTCTTCTTCGTATTTTTGGAGCACATCCACAGATCTTTGCTGGACTTGAACCCAACCAGATCTGCCCAAAAACACGCCTTGCACCGGCATGTCGCACCACCTCACAGGAGACAGCTCTCTATTGCATTGATTATCAACCTGACGATATGGCTCGTGGTCCTTCACTTCTCCAACAGAATGAAAACTGGGAGATTTTCCCCACTTGGTAGTGTTATGGTTTAGGTTAGAACTGGTTCCGAGGCTCTGGTGTTTTGTGAGGGGCGGAGGATTTTTCGCTTTGGAACTTCGACCCGATAAATAGGTGCGACTAACGGCACCACCGTATGAGTTATTGGAGGCAGTTTCCCATGGTTCCGAGGTACTGCGCAAGTGCAGTACTGACACGTTTGGCCCTCTAAAATTCAGAAAAAAATGGCATTATAATTTTGTTTTAAACTACCACCAAAATACTTAAAATACCAGTAGTTTAAAACTACATAATGTTATTATTGATAAAAAATATTCCAAATGAACAATAACAATTAAAAGAGATGTTTAAATAGGTCCTTTGAAGGGAACTAAAAGCCCGCGGTCCGTTACTACCCCTAAACCTAGTTATTTAGTTACAGTTTTAAATGTTTTGTTATTTTGAAGCAAATTAAAGTATTATTTTTTCTCTGTATTGCTTTTTATCATTTTTGCTGAAAAAACAATGTAAATATTACATTTTGCTGACACCATGGAGAGAGTTCACAAAATGCAATATTGTTTGGACATTATTTCTTTATAGGGCAGAAAGACCACTGTCAATAGCAAAACAATAATCTTTCCCTTACAATGACAAAAATCCGAAACCCCTCAAATCTTCTTGTCCCAAACCTGTTTTTTAACTTATCTAGATATACTTCAATATGAATAAACTGCAATAATGATAATGATTTCTATAAAAAATGTTAAAATTTTAAGAAATGGAATGATATCAAACCTTTTTTGAAATTTCGGCTTCAAAAAGTGTCCTGAAATTGTTATTCCTTAACCGTCCCCATACGCATTTAGTAAAAAATAAAATTGACCATACTACCCTAGCAATAAAATTTCATCAATACAAATTAAAAAGAATATGTTGTGTCTCATAAAGTGATTTCGCGGTGCAATAATAAGGTAATTATTTGTCCGTATTTTTATATTGTTCTAAGCCGTCCCTAATGATAAGCCCTGGGGCGCAACCTTTTGGGGGCGGCAATTTTTATTGATGTTATATTTTTTGTTATTATCGGATTATAGGCAAAATGCGTTTTGTTTCTATTTTAGGAATTTGTTTGGGACCTTGAAATTAATCCTAAACTTAAAAAATAAAGCGTTTGACACCCCTTTGTTGTTGCCTAAAAGCCTAAAATGACGAAATTTTGATTTATTGTCCTAAAAGGACATTTTTATGAGCCTAAAATAGCCTATTTAATTTTTCAGAAAAAAATATATTTTTCATTGCAATATATGGAAAAAGCAACTTTGACAACCGTTAGAAACAACGTATCGTGCTTTTGTTTGTATTTGTCACAGACAAATTTTGTTTGTTTGTTTGTCAGTGGTATTTGTTTATATTATTTGTTTAGCTTTGGCCTGCTTATTTTTTGTAAGTTTATAGAGATTTAATTAAATAATAAGTATTTCATTTACAAAAACTATTAATATTGCCAACAATTTATTTTAGTAATCCTAGAAATGCCCAAGGTCAAAGCAGGGACAAAGGTTTCAAGGTGGTTGCAGGAGCTGGACAAAAATAAAATATTTCAGCCAAATCAGTGCGATGACACCCAAATATTTTATAAAAGCTTTGCCAAAATGGTAAGGTTTTAACATACCTACACAGTAAAAAAGTTTATTCCAAGAGTTCCACTTTTTTTATTGTATAAACACATATAGTATAGCAACCTGTACTATAGTTAGAGATGTAAAAAAACGGTTTTTTCAGATGTCAAAAAAAAAATGAAAAAATACCTAGAAAAAAAACGGGTTTTTCAAATCCACTGCAATAAAGCATATTCTGTCAATAAATAACATCAATCTTAAAAAATGGAGTAATTTTTCAAAATGAAATTTTGAGTAAAATGTATATTAATAATAAAGTGAAATGTAGAATATATTACATTTTTCATTATTGAAAATTTTGACTTAAAAATTTGATTTCTTATTATTTGGTAGTTTCCACATAAGAAACCAATAGCAATGTAAAACTTCTAGACTAATAGAAAAAATTAAAGGATACAAAAAATTACAAATTTTTTGCGATTTTTTAGATAGCTGTATCTTTGTTAAAAATGGTCGTATTGGAGCAGTAAAAAAAGCAATTTTAAGCTTGGTTTCTAGTTTTGAGATTTTTAGATGAAAAACGTGCAACGCTCAATCCTAACTAATACCGTAATAAAAAAAATGGAAATTTTTTGGTCCACGGAATGTTCTGACTTAACCACCAATGAATAAATGTTCTACAAGAATTTGCTATTGTTTTTTTTGAAAAAAAAAATAATTCATACTCTACATGAATTTGAAAAATCATAAAAAAGTGCTTTTGGTTGAAAAATCAAGCGCTGAATCAAAAATATTATCGGTGGTTACTTTTTTTCAAAACAAGCGCGGCCCTTATTGGTAAATTCGGTGGTGGTGGAGCGTGCAAAGCGGGAGACTGTATTTACATTTCCGAAATGTCATTTAGTGGCTAATTTTAGTCCACGAACTGGACTGGAAACATAAAAAATTGGGCAAATTGGACTAATCTTGAAAAAAAAACTAAAACTTAAAAAAAAACAATGAAAAAAACCTGAAAAAAAAAAACAAAAAAACGGACCGTTTTTTTCAAGTCGCATCTCTAACTATAGTACATATGGTATACACGGTAAAAGGTTTTCATTAATAGTAATGTAATAGTAAAGGAATTTACTTATCATTTTAAGTAAGATATTTTACTTTTATGTAGGTAGGTATAAGCTTTTTATTTTCTTTATTCATGCGGCAATTATTTATATGGCCCATATGGCAATATTGTTTGTTAAAGTTTGTGTTATTATTTTTATTATGGATTTTACATTAAGGAAGATATATTTTTTGATTTATTTTTATTGATAGTACCTGAATAAATGTTATGTTCAATCAATAAAAATATGTTTAATAAATGTTTAATAAATGTTTTTATTTCACATCGCCTATTTTAGGCACTTTCGGCCTAAATCGGACTAAAATGTAGGTTTTTATTGCCTATTTATGTGTCCTAATTTCCAATTTTTAACGGCCTAAAAACCGGTCTTTGGTTATTATTATTATACTATTTTTATTGAAAATCTTTTCAAGAAAAAAATAACAGAATAATCTGAATACAAAACAAAATAAAATTGAAAATATTAAATGCATGCTAGAGGTGGGAAACTATCGAATGCAAATATCGATGTATCGATAGTTTTCGAATTAAAACCGATAACCGAAAGATAACTATCGATAGTTTTTCTTAAATCTTTTAGACAAAATTCCCTGGAGAAGTAGGGAAAACATCCAGGTTGGTAATACTGATTGACAGACAATTCCCTAGAAAACAGCTGTTTTCATGCCATGTGTGTAACACACAGTGTTTTATATACATAGACCAGAGATATGGACCTCCATATCTCTGACTGTCAGAGATATGGAGGTGCATATCTCTGCTCTGTGTATATAACACAGAGTCTGACATAGACATATCTCAATGATAATGATAATTATCAGTGGCGGCTGATGGATTTTGGGTATACCGATATAATAATAATAATAATAATAAAATGTCTTTATTTGAGTAAAAATTATTTTTTACATTTTTCTTCAACTAGGCGAAGTCTAGCCTCAGGCTACTCCACTTAACCTAGTATGACAATTTTGGGTTACATCGAGAAAAAAAAAATATAACAAAACATTCCTTAACCAAATAAATTTTAAATTATTAACACTTTAATGCATACAAAAAATTTTGTTTTAGCCTACGCTTAAACGCAGCTAATGAAAGAGATTTTAATTCTTTGTTTACATTATTATAAAGTACAACAGCATTATAGCTAAAAGAACGCGTAAACATGGATAAACGAAACTGTGGTAAAGATAAATTATTATTTTGTCTTAATGAAACCGAATGAAGATCTCTACGGAAAATAAGTTTTTCTCGCAAGTAGGTGGGGGTACTCGTCAAAATAATTTGGTGTACATACACTGATAAGTTTAACCTATACAAGTTTTCTAATTTTAACCAACCCAATTCTTCTATTTTTAGAGTAACATGTTCAAATTTTTTTAATCCAAAAATAAATCTGCAACACTGATTTTGAATTTTTTGTATACGATACAGAGTACATTTATCCAAACATGGAACATATAAAATATTACAATAATTAAGCATGGGCAAGAGTAATGTTTCACATAACTTTTTTCGCAATTTATAGTTAATTATGCTAATGTTACTATAAAATGTTTTAAGTAAGTTATAGGACTTTTGTACCAAAACAGAAATATGATCCGCAAATCTTAAATTTTCATCGAAAATTACTCCCAAATTTTTTACTTTACTTTGAATTTCAAGTAACTTGCCATCGACGTATATTTTTAAATTTTGTTTAACAAAGGCCTTAACGTTTTGAGATGAAAAACTAATAAGAACACACTTTGAAGGATTGAGTTTTAGGTTATTGTCCCTAGAATATTCCGAAATGCCTTTAAGATCACTATTTAATTGATTACACGCCTGGATTATGGATTGTGGCTTAAAAGTATACAATAATTGAGTATCATCAGCATATCCTTGAGCTATTGAATATTTAACACAATTAAAAATGTCAGCAGTGTATATTAAAAATAATATAGGTCCCAGGACAGAGCCCTGGGGTACCCCAGAAGTTATAGCACAGGAATTGGATAAAATTTCATTTGCTACCACTTTTTGTGTTCTTTCTGTTAAATATGACCTAAAAAAATTACAAGATGTTAAGTCAAAGCCATAATATTCAAGTTTAGCTATTAATAAAGAATGGTCTAGAGTATCAAAAGCTTTAGAAAAATCAAGTAGTACCAATGCTGCGGCTAAACCCTTATCCAAGGCTGAAAAAATATTGTCCGATACGTTAAGCAATACAGAAGAGGTACTATGTCCTTTTCTAAAACCCGATTGGTAGTTAGATATGATGTTATTTTGTAAAATATATTCATATATTTGTGTTTTTAAAAATGATTCTAAAATTTTTGCTAGAGTAGGAATTATAGTAATGGGCCTTAAGTCTGAGTATGCAGTAGGTTTACTATTTTTAGGAAGCGGTTTTACCAAAGGTAATTTCCACTGATCCGGAAAATATCCAATTTCTAAACAGCAGTTAATAATGTGCGTAATGTATTTACTTAATACAGGCA